ACTAAGCATGCAAACCTATAATTTTATTTAATATTTAGGTAATTATTACGATCCAGAACCCTGTACGTCAGACAATACCTCTGTTGTTGTTCATAGTCTAGATACCTCGTGCGTCTTTCTACATGAAATCTCGGAATATGCTAATGTCTGGATTCGACCCCAGCTCTTGGATGGTCGACCACTGGTACCGTCGGACAAATGTACATGTACTTTTTGTCCTTCGTTCTTAAATGGTAAGGCGTTTTCAATAAATATGAAAAATATTCATATTTTGAATATAAAAGATAAAACGGCAAAACACAACCATTTACTTTTTTAGGCCTTGACAAAATATGGCGAAAGCGCTTGCAGAAAATATTTTGTGATTTTTTGGATTTTTGTTTTTATATTTAATACACCCAGCAGAACTGTACCGGTTCTTCATTTTGTTTTTGAAATTATATATATATATATATATATATATATATATATATATATATATATATATATATATATATATATATATATATATATATATATATATATATATATATATATATATATATATATATATATATATATATTTATTTATTTATTTATTTATTTATTTATGATATTTTATTTCGATATGTACAGTAATTTTTTTTTCTTTCAGACACACTTCCAATTAATGGCACGGAGGACACATATATCTCCGCGGAATGTTACGGAAATTATATGATGAAACTCAGAAAATGTGATGGGTTTTTCGTATTCTACTTGGATTACTCATTAATATATTACTATTCTATTTTCCTGGGTGAAACACTTTGTCTCGGTAAAAATTATGTTGATAATTCTTTTCCTTCCATGCATTATTTTTTGAAGTTGCTTTATTTCCTCGTGTATTGGTCCATCAGTTTGGTGTTGGTAAACCTCATTCTAATGTACTCTCTCTTTCCTTTTTCTATTTCTTTTTCTCTTTCTCTTTTGTGTTTTTATTTTTGCAGTTAAAATTCGATACAAACGTTAACGAAAGTATAAGACTTTTTTGGAAACGATATCTTCAGATATCTAGTATATCGTGTACCTACATGTATTACATATACATGTACCTTAATTAAAGATTATAAAAAAGATTGGCTTGTGGTTACAGGTATATATGCATTTTAAATTCAAACATTGCCACTGAATTAATTATGAAGGAATTTATTGAAGCCATATAACGACAAGGTTTTGTTGAAAATATATATTTACATTTGAACGTCAGACTGTGATACATGTATTAGCTTTACCTTGCAAAAGAAACGTGTTGTTTGACGATCCGAAATACACCTCTACATCATTTGGCAACAATTGATTGCAAATGTGAAGAAATAAATTTTTACAGTATATATGTAAAAGAATACAGCTAGAGTTTAAATGACTTCAAGACAGAAAATTCAATGGAAACACATATCCTCGAGCAAAGGAATTTGATACTCCTATATTTATTTGAAGGTAACTAGTGTTACAACCGAACACTTATTTTTAAACATGCGGTACAATGTGCGAGATATTGCTGTCATGTTATATAAAGTTTTAATTATAACTAGGTGGAGGTAACATTTACAACACGATTACAAGTTTTCATATTGTAAATTTTGCATTAACTCATCACCTGGTGAATTCAAAATTGACTAAATAATACTTCTCTCCGTATGAAGAAAATGCAATATATTGTCTTTGCTGTGGTCTTTGGCTTTAAAAAGAAAGGGCGACTTGCATTGGTTATTTAAATGTTTGTACATACAAGTATATGACCAGTTTGGTAGTAAGTTTACATCGAATTCAATACATTTCTAATTATTTTCCCATCTTAAATATTTTTTACAAAAAACAAAAAACAAAAAAAAAACAAAAAAAAAACTAGTGCAATAATGTAACCATTCCAATTTTTTCGGGTGTTACAAGGGTCTACTCTATCTCTTTAATTCTACAGTCACAAAATCACTCCCGTGAAAAAATTTCGGCTAAAATCGCATATGAATGACTTTCTTACCTGAACTATTTTTTTTTCGTACGAAAGGACATATCCCCTCCCTTTATCCAAGTTTGTACATATAAAGTCACAGACGAAGACGCGCAATTATTCCTATTGAAACACATGAGTATTGCAGGATTCAAATTAAATGTTCACTTATTTGCAATCGCCCTCAAAATCTTTTCTAAAGTTATCAGTAAAATGCATTCATGATGAGAACACACAAAGAATATTATAAAGTTCAATTCCTTTAATAAACATGTAATAATTGTTCAAACTTTTTTATGTTTTATATTAAATTATTTGAAAATAATACCTTTCTGCCCAACGCGTTATTTTGAATGTTGATTGCATGTCTACCTTTAAAAAAAAAGATATAGAGTGACTCGTTGGGTTGACCCAAAAGTAATGTCCATGCTGCTAATCTTAAGTAATCAAGTTATCAAAATTTTATATATAAATACGTCTATCTATTTTGTCTTAAAATTTCATTCAGATATATGCAATACTTTTTAAAATATTAAAATAAACATAACGGAACCTGTCGTCTTGCAGCACGGCAAGAATATACCGACGTCTTAATGACGTTTGTCTTCAGCAAATTTTCAGTTCATCCATAAATCTATTAAATCTCTCACATACGTGTTTTATTTCGTGTACACTCCAAACTTGTGCTGGCCGTCTACTTTGAGTTATTTCATAAAAAAATATATATATTTAAACGTTCCATAATGCATCTGCATATTTATTTCGATGCGCGTACATGTAGATCAAGAGTAGCGTCGGATTTCAGAGTTGTCGTGAAAGGCTCCAGGCACTTTCTTCTTCCTAACATCCGTCGATCTTTTGATTTCCATTTATATTGGAATGTAATGCAAATTTGTATCTTTATAATGTTAATTATTTCTCTTATTAGTAGTAAATTTTTCGAACGTCAAGTCCGATGTTGAAATAACATCTGGACAAAGTTCAAATAAATTTATAAATTCAACCCAGAAGAAGACCCTTTATAGGAAAATGAGCGTAAAGATTATTAAAAAGAAGCTTGTGAGAGGTTAAAAAGACTACGGATGAACTGAAAATGAGTGCCGAAAAGTAATGTAATAACGACTTTAGCTAGCGTTCTTGCTCTGCGGCAATAAACAATAACATTGTGTTTACCTTAATATTTTAAAAAAGTATTTTATGTTACTGAAAGAAATTTTGAGGCAAAAATCAAAATAGATACAGTAGGGTAATATCATGTAACATTTGATTATTAAAGATTTTATGGCAGCTGCGACATTATATTTGGATCAATCCTTGTCCATAATGATTGTATGTCCATCAGAATAATTTTTGCAGTGAGACCTGTCTCTACTCTTGTTAACCATTTGGTATTATTTCCTCTACAGCGCCATACGGAGGTTCTTGCAAGAAACCGGAAGATTCCACTGATATGGGTGAGTGGTAACATATAAAACAATTGTGAAAGAACGAAAATTATGGATTACATGTGAGAATCCTTGCTCGAATTATTCTACTACTGATTACCTTGTCACAGAAATTGGATATCTATCTATCTATCTATGTATATATCTATCTATCTATATATATATGTATATGTATATATATGAATGTATAATTTAAATGTATTCCATATATATTTTGACGAATGACATGCTGAATGGTAAAACATTGAAATTATTCACCAAATATCATGATGGAATACTGTATGTGTACTTAAAAAAGCGGGCTTCATATTTTAGCGGCTTTGGCGCAGACAACGATGAGCTAATTCATGAATACCGCTAAGAAATCATTTATAAATACTAGGGATGTCAAAATATTTATTTTCCTTAGTCGATTATTCGATTGCATTATTCCAACGATAGTCGAATATATTCGGAACATTTCCTGAAAATAAAATTGTATTTGAAACTTCTCTGGTACATGATTTATTTATAATTCAGAAACCTTTTTACTTAAATCTATTAAATGTAACATCACAATTTATGCAACGTAACGCGTGGATAGCATGATTATTTGAATTTTAAAACCTAATTTTTCCAAAATGTATGATTTCCCCGTCAATAGAATTCATAAATCGGTTTGTACATGCAGTCAGTTTTTATTTAAGTAAACAAAGAAAAAAATTGCCAGGAGATATTTTTTTAAAGATTATTATGAAATAAATTGGGGGGGGGGGGTAATCTCACACTATCCACACGTCAAGTGCCTGTGAAATTGTTAAACAGTTAGCTACCGCTTATTCGATTATTGTTTGCTCTGGCTATCAAAATGTCCTTATACAGTTTAAAATGTAAGCGAATTGTTTTGATAATTATCGAAGTGTCAAAACATGTCACAGTTATGGTTCTTCCTTGTGCTTGAGCAATCTTAAAATAACATGAAATAATTGGTACATGGTTAAGATCAAGTCCAATTTATAATTTTACAAACAAAGCCTAGTAAATTGGTTGGTAATTAATTACAAAAACAACACAGGCAGTTGTAATTCCCGCAGTACGTGGCAGTAGTGAAGCACTTATAATTACTGTACTTTCTATACCTACATGGAAAATCAAACGTTTTTTTGTTGAGGAAAATTATCTTATCGACTGTCTCTGAGGAAAGACGGTTTCTCAATTTTGTGATGAGAATTACATTACGTTATCACTCTTTTATTGCATTTATTAAATTATGATAATATTCGAATGTCGCTTCATTATTCGATCGTCGGTCCATTCGACTGATAGTCGAATATTCGTTGACATCCCTAATAAATACCATATACGGCACAGACATGTATAGCGCTAATTCATGATTTCGCCAACAACTCCATACCCAGTGATTGCGCTTAATTTTGAATACGCCAATTTATGTACACGTACAGTAGTTTGGTTTTTTTTTTTTTTTACAATTCAGAATTTTGGATTTGAAATATCAGAGTGTTTCTGGTCAAATATGTTTTCTCGAACGAATACCATTAGCACCATTAAAGAGTAGTCATGATATTAATAACTTAGATAACGCCCTTGATTTGTGTCCTGAGGTGAGGAGTTTTCATGAAGAAACAGAGGAGAAAACAACTATGGGGGTGGTCTTTAAGTGTCTATTCCAGCCTATATCCGGAAATATATTGTACGACGTCCAGTGGTATATTGACGGTATGCTGCTTAACAACGCCAAATTCACAAGGATCAGTTACAGCAATATTAATGATACGGCACTCCTTACGAAGCATTGGGTCAACAACTTTACAATGAGTTTTAGGGTATGGAGTACGGGACACTGACTAATTTAACGTTGTTTTACATGTACTTTGCTATCGCAAAATTGTGTTACTATGGACTTAAAGTCAGCATTTATGTCTACATGCTTTACTTATTTGTAGGTATCTTGTGCTGTAAAAGCATACAATACAACCTCTGGCGTCAAAGGGGAATTCATCGAAAGTTATTCATTTTTTGCAGGCATTAAGGTACAAATACTTTTTCATATAATATTGCATGCACTTTTTTATGTTTTCATTCAGAACTATTTTTGTTATTCTTAAATTTCCTCTACAATTACTCTGAACTTTATACAAAATTGCAGCCGAGTCAGCTCAGGTATTTAGTGACTGAGGGAGAAACAGTTCAGATAAGTCTGGAGGTTACAGTGCCCTTCAGTTGTCCATCAGTTCTAAATGACGCAATGAAAGCCTCCCACTGTAGATTCCAATTCTACATCTGGACTCCGGGGGAGGGACAATGTGTGAATGGTCTTACTAGCAATGGAGTTGCTTTCAGTGATAACCCATGTGGAATATCATTTGGTTATACAGACAAAACGGCATCTATCAGTGTCACTGGTTATATTGACGGAATGGTCAATTTCAGGGAAAGAAAATCTACCTTGAGGATTGCTTCTACCAGAAATCCAATGGACGCCTCTGGGATTTGGAACGGTGTAAGAATTCCTGACATTACGGTACGTAAAAGATATGGAATTATATTAAGATTCAAAGACATTGGAATATTATCACAGATGTAATAAACATACTTATATGCTGAAATTGCTTTTTCTAAGGGTTATCTTTGACTAACATACATGTAGTCAGGAGGGTCTTTATGCGGCGAAATGCTTACGAAATACTTTGTATGAATTTTGATTTCTCTGTAATTGCACAGGTTACTGTGAAAGACAAAGACTGGTTGGTCTCAGGTAAATATTGTGCTTCCTACACGGATCCCCATCAAAGAACATTCGACGGGACGTGCTTCTCCAACCAACGGGCGGGGGAGTTCTTGTTTTACAGACATAAATATTTGCCTTTCACGGTACGTATGTATCCTTTTTCCTTATTAAATTAAGAAATCAAACAGTTAGAGTTTCTTGCTCTCATTTTTTCAACATCATTTAAGGTACATGTGTTGTATTCTGCATGTGTGTGGGGACGTGCCACGTGTAACTGTGGCGTCGCCATTAGAAGTGGCGGAAGCCTCTTCTCCGTCCGCACTTGCGCAGAAGTATCTACAACCTGGACCAAGACTTTAGCAATACCAGATGAAAAAACCATAATTTGTAAAGATGATGACCTAAGAATTCAAAAGTCTTGGCGATATTACATGGTAATGTTTGGCATTAATAGTTGCTTAAACAAAACTGTATTTATCAACAGATTAGCTACTTTACAGTTAGAACAATTCCATAGGTAACGTTTCCGAGTGGCACAGATGTGTCATTTGCAGTTTCATCGTGGGGTAACTGGATGGGTAGCATTAGAATTAGAGCCTCTGTCTCAGATATTGGGAAAACAGAAGGGTTGTGTGGACTTTTCAATGATGACGCCAAAGATGACTTTATTCCTCAACATGGGCAGAATGCAACAGATATAAATAGTTTTGTAGAATCATGGAGGTAGGTTAGATATTTTGGCTCTAAATTAATGTGGCAGTAACTTCTATAAATGCTGTGGCTGGTTCTAAAAATTTTGGTCACTACTCTAATATATTAATCTGCTTTTGTTGTTAAAATTTCTTTTGTACAGAATACCAATGGTTTCTACTGATGAAAGTTTATTTGTGAAGAATCCTAAAATCTTAAGAGAGTCTTTTATGTACAATAGGTAAGCACAATTTTTATTTTAGTGTATTAAAAATCATCGACAATCTCTACTGGGCAGTCAAAAATACTTCTACGTTCGAATCATCCTGAAATAAATGCTGAAAAGTGGATTATTAACATTTTTAAAAAAAATTAATGTTATTATTTCTATCTAAAAGGTATTCCACGGAAAGCAAAAGAACTGAAGAGAATTACTGTACGTGCCCGTCCGATGAGCCACTGGATCCTTACAATCCAGACTTTGAGTCTCAGAATCAGGCCCACTGTAACCAGACGACACCGAGTTCTGTGTGTGGAAGTCAGGTTTCTATGGTGATGGATACTTCTTCCTGTGGCACTACCTCACGTCGACGAAAGCGTTCTGTTGAATCAGATGACATCAGCGACTCTACTGAATTTACCTATGCTACTGACTTCGACGAAACAGCTGTTTTTAACGTATGTCATGTCTTAAGCTTTCCTAGTAAATATGACTCTATTGCATCTAATTTTTTAACAATTTATTTTCATGAGTACTTGACCTATTTAAACGTCTGTGTTGAATTTCGACTTCACTTGTTTTTTTATATATCTATACCTTTCAATAAGTTGTACAAAGGCATGAAACAAACCATGCCTTTCCTTAAAAATATATAATTTATCTTTAACAGGTAAGTGACTGGATCAATGGGTGGAACGCCACGTCAGCCAGGAAGTACTGTAATGACTCTTTCACCTTTGACCCCGCTGTGAAGACGTGTAATGACCTTGTCAACATCTCTTCAGAATCTTATATAGATAGTTGTGTGGAGGATATCAAGGTAACATTTAGCACTCAAAATAGCGCATTTACTGTTTCTTGTATTCCTACACAGTGCTTTTTCATTTCCTTTGAGGAATATTGTTTTTAAAATTTACATTCAATATGTAATTTCCTTATAAAGTGTGCTGAAAAAATTATAAACTATAGCACCGACATGGAGGTCAAAAGATTAAATAATGCTTTTAATTTTGACATCAAAAACGTTGAGTGCCGTATAAACGAAAATCAAAATTCACAGTTATACGAGTGTATCAAAGAAGAGAAAAAATTTATCAATCTACCATGAAATTCATGAATTTAATATAAGTATTGAATTGTAAATATTGAACGTTTAGTGTGTCATAACACGGAGAGCCGTGCAGACAAATTTTCATAACTTGCGTATGCGCGTTATTCAATTTATCAGCAGAGTCCGTTTTATGACACCATGAACGTTCGAAATTGCAATGCTTAAAAATCAAGGAACCGAATGCATGTCCTATGTTTTAATTTGTTTGCATCAATTAAGGCATTTTACATTCCAAGTGAAAGGATGAAATGTACATAAAGACATCCAATTGATTGAACAGGATGTAGTCATTTAATAATAGTTACTGAAATTAATATCAGATGTCTGGTAATACAACATGGGTAGAGGACACGCTGGACACACTAAAAGGGGCGTGTCTTACAGAGGCCAAGAAACAGGAAGTGTTTTATACAAACTCCACCTCTAACTCCTCCTTTGAGTTGTCAATCATACAGCTGATCACAGCTCAACTTTGTCCCGCCAACTGCTCTGGAAATGGAGAATGCAAGGATGGTACAGTTGGGACATGCTTTACTTATTAGTTCAATTTACAGTCTGTACAATTAATTGCAAATCCAATGTTATAACGTTAAAGTATTTGGATATACAAATTCATTCCCTTCCTTTATTATATCTATATATGTAATAAGAATGAAGTGCATTGCTGGAATCAATAAAATTAGTGACATTTTTACTGAGACAGCTAGTTTAGACGTTTGATTATATTTTGTTTTATCAATAGCCTTGTGTTTCTGCCATGATGGATTCATTGGGAGTGATTGTTCGGTCCGTGTGTCAGTGCCACCTACAGACTTTTCTTTGCCGTCCAGTGGAATTTGTGACACAAGACAACGATCATGTCAAAAAACAAATATTGTTGGCAAATTCTACTCTGAAAGTGTCGTCGCAAAATTGCTTCACTTTGAGGTAAAGTATTTAAATCTTAATCTGTATACTTATTCTATTTTTACATGTAACTATTTGAAGATTTTATTTTTAAAAAAATGCTTTTAAGATAGAAGAAATGGAGCCCTCCAATCCTTTCTCTGTGACCACAAATGCAACTTTTCGTCATTTCAACCTGATTACTGTGAACTTGCATTCTGTTTCCGAGTCTTCTCGACGTCGACGTCGTTCAGTGATGAATGACGTGCATGGTTGGAATATTTCACTAAGTTATGATGGTATAACCTTCAGTGATCATGTGACTTTGTTGATATATGAAAGTCAGAGATACTCATGTGATATGCAGACCCTAACTTGCAAAAAGCTGGTATGTCAAAGAAAGCTTTTATAATCTAAAACATCTAATTAGCAGAAATATAAAATTGAAATTTCATTTATCTTTGTAAAGAAAACAAGAGATTAAAGCTAGTTCATATAATTTAAATATAAAAGAATCTGTTAAAGTTTTTGACAATATGTTTTAGATAAGCGACAGTGGATCCTCCTCCAAAGGTATGTTAGAATTTGTTATACATTTTTATATCTAGTGTTCATTTACAAGAAGACGCTAAAATGTCCATCTGAAATCAATGTAATTATACCTGTATTTAAGGTTCACATCCATTTAAAGTATTTTTTTTAAAATTATTTTTAAGGGTTTTTGGTGGCGGAGATTATCCGCTCACCAACAGACAGACAATGCATTAGCACAGATTTGTGCAACTGTAATTTCTTTACCATATAGACAATAAAGATTGCTATTGTAGGGTCTACCGTCAACGTTCCCGCCATTGCTGGTGCTATAGGTTTCACTGCTGTAGCAGTAGTTATTATTGTGATAGTAATCGTTCTCATAAAAAAGAAAAAGTGAGTTTAAGTCTAAATCTTTTATTGTTATCACATATTGTTATTTAGTGCAGTTTGAGTGACACTTGTTATCGAGACAACAGTCTTTTTGGTTTACTCGGCATAAACTTCGTATTCTACACTCTGATGTAGTGGGGATATTCTGATTACGAAATCGAAAAAGGATGCAATTTACCAGAGTTTTCTTAGATAAATTTCTTAATCAGTATCCCCATCAATAAAAATATTATTTTTGAAAATTTAGTAATTTATTTTCTCTTTATTTATCTATTTTCTAACAACAAGTTTGTAATGTTTTTATTCCAGGTTTCCAAAAGCTCGGGCCCAGTCTGTCATAGGTATACAGATTGACAACAGCCAGATAACGATACCTAGAAATGACACTGGGTCTCTGTGGGTGGGGGATACTGACTACGGTCAGCCCATACCCTCCCTGCCCCCAGTTTATTATGTCTACCAGCAGAAACGGGAAACAACTGGTATATCTCTGTATTTTGAAGAAAAACACTAGTCTTTTCGTTTTTTGAAAATACATTCAATTAGGCATATCTTAAGCATTTATATATATTATTTATTTGGTTTTTTTTTTTTGGTTTTTTTTTTACTAAACTTTTACTAAACCAACTATGAAATTGATTTGAATTGAATATTTGTGTATACTCATGCGTAGAAATATACGCAGAGAACATAAATATTTACGATTCCTTACGATACTTCATTGGAGAAAACACGGACCTTTAAGAACATCAGAGGTGGGATCAGGTCCCATGGAGGAGTGAGCATCCCTTGTCGACCAGTCACACCCACTGTGTCAGGGCTCAACAATGACTTAAATAACCACTTGTTCATCGGAAAAATTGCCAACAAATGTCACTTGTCCGACTATGAACAGATAAAAAGAAATTTGTAGAACCTTATTTTCAAAAGTGAAGTAATGGTAGAAAGTATTCACTGATAGAGATTTGTAAGTCATAAAAATGAAAAAAATAATTGATATGAAATACAGTAGCACTGTCTGTAACCTAGTCTCAATCACCCTCGTCAGTTAAGTGAGTTAACAATATCCGGTGAAATGAAACTAAAGCTTAAGGAATGCGACATTTGCGATTTCAAAACAATGACAGTGGTTTATGAATTGTGTAGAATTTAAAGAAAAATAATCTTATTCACAATATTCCATCAAGATTAAAGAGTCACTTGTCAAATCGGACAAGTGTGTATGGAGATTGAGTTGTCTGATAACGAAATGAACTGGTCAATGGGACAAACGTTAATGTTGAGTCTTCATTGTGCTCCTTATCATGACTGATCGGGCAAGCGGGAAAATCCGTAGAATATACCTTGTGAAAAAAATAGCCTCACAATTTGTATGAAAACATTCATCATTCATCATTCAGTCAAAATTCGACTTAGCGATAGATTGTAATGCTAACAAGGTCATTGTATCGACCATAGAATTTGCGCAACATTGACTTTAAACGGGACTGTTGATATCCTTTATTATCAACTTACTTGTCAATAGCTTGCCTCGTTTTAGAAAGTGATCGTATGTAGAGTATGCTCTTCCGTATCGAATCAACTGGAAGACATAAACTCCATATGCAGGTGATAATAGTATTTTGCTACATGATAAGGAACGTTGAAGATAGGAAAGTTGAAGTCATCACGCTTGTCATAAAGTATTGTTGTTAGATTACTATTGCCGTCTTTTTGTAGTAAAATATCCAAATATGAAACAATTCCCTATGGTTATATGTAGTTATATCTTGACATGATAAACTGTTTTGTTGACCTCTACTTGTTGAGTTATAAAAATCATCAACTGATATATGTCAGTCTCTCTGATGTTTTCATTTATTGTTATGGGAAATCTTGCATTTAATAAAGTAAGTAGAGTTTTATAATACAACAGCTATCTTTTTTTTCTTTTAAATAAAGCGATACCTTGACGCAAAAACGTTTTGCATGACCCATGCAAATTTTCTTCAATTCTTGAAAGTATTAGGTTTTAGAAAAATTACAGGTTTCAAGACCTAAAACAATCTACTTTTATGGAAAAAATTGTTTGCCCCAAGACGAAAATATTGCTTCACTTCTTCCTCTTTATTTAGCGCCTGAGCAGAAAAGTTGAAGAGGTTACCATAGTCTCGAGTCGCATGAAATATAATTCGATGATATAATTTTTAAAAAAAGATAATTAGGACTTGCTCTTCACCTCCTCCTGCTCCAATTCCATGTTGTCAAGTTTCACACTAAAAATAAAAGTCGTGTGGCCTTGACATGAACGATAACAACGAATCTTCTATATAGTACTGTTACTCTGTTCCGTCATTCTGTCATTCCGTCATCATTGACTTTCGTTAATTATCTCAGCAACAGTTGCACACATTCAACTCATATTTGATATGGATACGTCATAGGAATACACAGGTCAAGTTCGAATGTGGTCCGATGATTTTTGACAGAGTTATCCCTCTTGAACTTAGAAAAAAAATCAGAAATTTTCAGTTTCCGCTCTCTAACATTCGTAGGGATGTATGTATAAGGTTGAAAATGCATGTGCAGGTATTTTACCAAAACTACAGATCAAGTTTGAATTTGGCCGTGGTTCGATAATTTTTGACAGAGTTATCCAACTTGAACTTAGCATTCGTGGCATTACGACACATCTACATGCATGCAGTTTTAAAACATAATCTTTAACTGTATCTCAAAAGAATTCAAATATTTAATTCAAATTTTATAATCTATTCTCGTCAAATTACAATGTCATATAAATTAACTTTAAAACATTATAAGTGAATAAATACATTTTATTTAAGGAGGAACGCCACACCAAAATTTTATTTCATAGATCTTCAAGATATCCTTGTTAAGTTATGGTTTCAGCATTGAAAGGCCGATATTAGCTCTCAATTATTTTATTAAGATTTTTTTCCTTTTTTCATAGAAATGAAAAAAATGTTTTATTTGCAAATAAAACACATTAGAGTTAATAAATGCATAATATGAATATCTAATAAAATATGTAAAGAAAAGCCAGATAGACATTTTGATTTTTTTTTACTCCAAAAATATTTATGAAAATAAAACATTATTTTTTAATATTTTCTAAACCTATGGGTAATATATTCACATAACAAGTCACAACTACAATTGAAAGCATATTTTAGTCAATCATGATTTAAAAAGAAATTGAAATGAAATTGAGAAATTTTAGAGAAATTATTTTTCTTAATTTTGGCCAATCCCGATCGAAATCAACTGATCCCATCCAGAATTTTATAATAATTGGGAATAAATAACATTTTTACAAGAATACTACTTTATTTAGGTGTAATACGCGTTAAAAAGTAATAGATCTTGACAATCAAATAGATTTCTTAGTGGTAAATACCTAAAGAAGGCAATAAATTATTATTTTATTTATTTTGTGTTAATTTTGACCTCGGGATCACTTTAATTTTGATCGGGATTCGTCCATATAAAATAGTTATTTTCCTTAAAATTTCGCAATTTCATTTGAATTTCTTTTTAAAATGTGATTGATTAACATGTTCTCCCTAGTTGTGACTAGGTTTATGGAGATTTTATCCACAAGTTTAAAAAAATATTCACAATAATGTTTTTTAAAAAAGTAAAATGACTATTCCGCCTTTCTTTACACATTTTATTAGACATTCATATTATGCTTTTATTAACAGCAAATTTTAAACCATAAAACACCTTATTTGCAAATATAACACTTTTTTATTCTCTGAAAAAAAAAAAGCAAAATATATCGTATAAAATACTTAAGAGCTAATATCGGTCTTTTAATGCTGAAACTATAGTTTAAAAGGGATGTTTTAAAGGTCTATTAAATAAAATTATGGTGTGTCATTCCTAGTTAGGTCACCTGAGTCACTCAGGTGACCTATTGCTATCCGTTCTCGTCCGTCGGCGTGCGTCGTGCGTCGTGCGGTGTGCGTCGTGTGTTAACATTTGAACATTTTTAGCTTCTTCTCTGAAACCGCTTAACCAATTTCAACCAAATTTGGCATATAGCACCTATGGGTGAAGGGGAACAAAAATTGTGAATTCCATGGTCCCTGCCCCCCTGGGGCCTGAGGGGTGGGGCTAAAACCACCAAAAATAATGCAATCTTTAAAAATCTTCTTCTTTACTCCTGGACATCAAGCAGTCAAACTGTTGGCATCATTGTAATAAGCATTGAGTCCTCTACCAAAATTGTGAAATTCATGGCCCCAGGGTCAAGGGTTCTGGTGCTAGGGTGGGGCTATATAGATCATATAGGGAAAGTGCATTATTTCTTTGAAAATCTTCTTCTCTGCTCCTGGGTATTAAATAAAGTAACTAAGTACATAGTTATGAAGAACAAGAGTGCCTCTTTCAAAATTGTGAAATTCATGGCCCCAGGATCAGGGGTTCTGGTGTTAGGGCGGGGCTCTATTGATTATATAGAGAAAATGCATTAATTCTTTGAAAATCTTCTTCTCTGCTCCTGGGTATTAAATAAATTTACTAAGTATATAGTTATGATGAGCAAGAGTGCCTCTTTCAAAATTATGAATTTCATGGCCCCAGGGTCAGGGGTTCTGGTGTTAGGGCAGGGCTCTATTGAGTATATAGTGAAAATGTATTAATTCTTTGAAAATCTTCTTCTCTGCTCCTGGGTATTAAATAAAGTAACTTAGTACATATTTATGATGAGCAAGAGTGCCTCTTCCAAAATTGTGAATTTCATGGCCCCAGGGTCAGGGGTTCTGGTGTTAGGGCAGGGCTTTATTGATTATATACATTACTTAAAATGCATTAATTCTTTGAAAATCTTCTTATCTGCTCCTGGGTATTAAATGAACTAATTTAGTACATAGTTATGATGAGCAAGAGTGCCTCTTCCAAAATTGTGAATTTCATGGCCCCAGGATCAGGGGTTCTGGTGTTAGGGCGGGGCTCTATTGATTATATAGTGAAGATGCATTAATTCTTTGAAAATCTTCTTATCTGCTCCTGGATATTAAATGAACTAAGTTAGTACATATTTATGATGAGCAAGAGTGCCTCTTCTGAAATTATGAATTTCATGGCCCCAGGGTCAGGGATTCTGGTGTTAGGGTGGGGCTCTATTGATTATATAGTGAAAAGGCATTAATTCTTTGAAAATCTTCTTCTCTGCTCCTGGGTATTAGATAAACTAACTTAGTATATAGTTATGATGAGCTAGAGTGCCTCTTTCAAAATTTTGAATTTCATGGCCCCAGGATCAGGGGTTCTGGTGTTAGGGCAGGGCTCTATTGATTATATAGTAGAATTGCAATAATTTTCTCTGCTCCTGGGTATTAAGTACATAGTTATGAAGAACAAGAGTGCCTCTTTCAAAATTGTGAATTTCATGGCCCCAGGGTCAGAGGTTCTGGTGTTAGGGTGGGGCTCTATTGATTATATAGTGAAAATGCATTAATTCTTTGAAAATCTTCTCTGCTCCTGGGCATTAAATAAAGTAACTTA